TTCATGGAATTGGAGCTACCCTCCTCTTCCTTGGATCAAACTTGATTACCTGCAATTCCTAGAAGACGTGACCCCTATAGTTGAGCGCTTCCAAATGAAATAATAAATTTTCAATGACTAATTAATTTATTGCTAATGAGTAATCGTAGACACGCTCCTTACGTCTAATATTAAAGAAATTAAGAATAATTTATATAAACAAAGGGATCACAACTATGAATAGGCTAGTACAAATCAAGACGACTTTTGTTATTGCTTCATTTGTGAAGCTCTTTAATGTACTGCTGTTATTATTACGATATATTAGATTATGCCATTTTGAACAAATTAATGTTCATAATTTGATTCAGTTAACCGAACAACTTTCAAAAAATGTATTGTAAATAATAACGAGGCAATTTGTGGCGGGAAAGTGACTCCGAGGATCAGCCAGTGATGCCGTCAGCACCGCGCCGGGAGCACCACGCGCTACACTATTGTGGTATATATTTCCTTAGTTCCTTGTTGTCCAAGGTTATGTATATATTTCTTCAGTTCCTTATCGTTCAAAGTTATGTTTCTTCCGTTCCTTATTGTTCAAGGTTATATATTTCTTCAGTTCTTTATTCAAGGTTATATATTTCTTCAGTTCCATATTGTTCAAGGTTATGTTTCTTCCATTCCTAATAATTCAAGGTTATATGTTTGGTTATATGTTTCTGATACAGTAAATAAATGAAAACATCTAGGAATCTTTATAGAGGAAACGTTTCGCTAGTCAGTAGCTTCTTTAGTCCAGTGCAGAGAAGAATAAAGGAAGATAATAATATGAGGTAAGCAGTCCCTCCAGGCAGAGGAATCGCTTACCTAATACTTCTTATCTTCCTTTCAACTGTTGATCCCCAGTTGCTGCACAAATGTCTTATTCTCAACTTGTCGGTTTTGAAAAGCATTTTCATCACCCAATTGATAAATGGTTATATTCATAACCTTAATATTTAAAGGGTGGGCCGATAAGCCAGAGGAAGGTCTCGATCAGATGACCGAAAGCTCCAGTGACGGGTCATATAGCTAAAACCCGCGTCAGGAAACACTTGTTCTGTTTCCTGGCAAAACTTACCTAACCTATTAATTTCTTCAAGGCTGTATAACCCTTGCGGTTTAGCGCTTCTTTTGATTATAATTCTTCGAGGTTATATGTTTTTCTAGTTTCTTCTTGTTCAAGGTTTCTCTAGCTCTTATTGTTCAAGGTTGTTTCTCTAGTTCCTCAATGTTCTAGGTTATATGTTTCTCTAGTACCTTATTCAAGATTATATGTAGATTTAACATCAGTATGCTGGGCCAGGAACAATGTCTCGACTCCTGCAACCACATATGGGTGAGTACCATCAATACATAGTCCTGTAATTGACCATTGTAATAATGTATTTGAAGCAATGTTGTTGTGTGAGAGTAACAGGAGCGTTGGTAATGTACGTTTTCAAAATTTCGTGGTTCGAGATGGTCGTATCCACATTAAGTGCCTTAGCTAGTAATACATTTTCATAAATGCCTAGGCTAATAGAGGCTCTCTGCATTGCAACCCATTATTATAAATACATAATCTCAATGTACTATTTGCAAAAACATAAATAAATAAATATATTATGCGAAATATTAATTGGCATACCTACATTGAGTTATATTTAATTATTTGTAATTTTCAGTGGAAGTCTGAGAGATTAGAGGAGCTTCCATCGTGCAGTCTAGGCTTCGGAATTACTTCAAGCAGTTCTACTCGAAGGAAGAAAAGCAGAGATCATCTAACAAGTATGTGGTTTGTTCTTTTGTTAGGTCATTTTACACCCTTCTTAAGGACATAAGCTTAATTTTCGAGCAAAGATAGTAGGAGAGGCGCCCAGAGAAATTATAGTTAACGTAAGTGTGGACACCAGGAAGTGACTGGATCACACTAGGTCTATCCCTCCTTGGCTCTTCGTGGATCAAAGCTTATGATCAAGTTCTTTTTGCTATATCCTATTGTTAGTTAACTTAAAACAAATCCTTTGAATTCTTCAAACACCTTTTAGTAATAGTTGCTTGCAGTGTTTATTTTTTTTCGTTCTGTATCTTGTATCTTCGATGTTTTTTTTCTGAGTTTGTATGGTAAATTATATTTAAATTTATTATTATTATTAAAGATTAGCCGGTATTCTCCCGGCCCGGGCCTTTTCCAAGTGATGGCCCGGCCTTGGCTCCCTCTAGGGAGTGTCTGAGACCTAAGTCTCCCATGGGAGGAGGCACAAGTACCTCCTCATCTTTGGGACCAACTGTCCCCAGGCCTAGCCACAAGCTAGGCCTCGCTGGTCTGCCATCCCCGCCCCAAGGGGGCTAATGGAAATGACAGTCTTATGAGCTAAAGGCTCGGGCTCAGGCACCTACCCTGCCCTAGAAGGGCTGGGCATGGTGTCGATCTATATTTAAATATTAGATAGGCGTGGATAAGGTAAGTAAAACAACTTTTTATTACATATCAAACATTATTATTATACTATGAATAAGGTAGGTAAAATTTTGTATATATATTCTTTATTATTATATTTTGAATATGGTAAGTAAATGTTTTTTAATTGCATATTAACCTATTATTATTTTGCTTATGTTTTACTTCACAATTTTATACATTTCAAAGGTCCTATAGTGACAAATAATCCTTTAGTACATTAATGTGTCTTAACCTAATTCTGATTTTGTATGGTAAATTATATGTATATAAAGCATTAGAAAGGTAAGTAAGATAACTTTTTATTGCATATTATTATACTATGAGTAATACAGTATATGTAAAATTTTACATATGTATATAAGCTTTATTATTATACTTTGAATAGGGTAAGTAAATTTCTTTATTACATTTTAACCTATTATGCTTATGTTTTACTGTGCAATTTTATACATTCTAACGTCCTAGAGTAACAAATATCTTAACCTAATTGCTCAAAGTGCAGTGAGAATTATTTTTGTTACCCGAGTGAATTAAACATAGAAAACAACCCCAGAAATAGTCATGTCTTGCTTAATTTTTTACCTTGCCAGCGTCTCGCATGCTGGTCTCTCCCGAACATGCAAATTCCACATCAACTTACAAATGCCTCATCAGGCGGATCACCCTTCAAGGGCGTATGAGAGGGTGGTGCTTTGATGCTAGTAATTGGCTGTTGATCCTATGAGTTAGAGCTAGTTTCCCCTTTCTCGGATGAAACTTAATTGTCTCCATTCCTCAGGCTCATAGGCATAGTGGGGACCAGCCTTTTTCTTGGACACAACCCTTCATAGGCATAGTGGGGACCAGCCTTTTTCTTGGACACACAACCCTCACAATTTAGTGGAACCTATTTGCAGACGAAAGGCCGTCCCTCGCAGTAGCCTCCAGCACATGACTTTAATTTCCAAACATAATTATCTAGCATGCGAGTACAACACTATTTCAGGTAAAAAGAGATAGACTGCATATGAAAAGTTCAATTGTAGACTGCATATGAAAAGTTCAATTGTAGACTGCATATGAAAAGTTCAATTGTAAACTGTATCTTAAATAATTTCCTAGCAATACTGCCACAACAACAGTGTACATATCAAGTAGAATTAATTATAATGTGATTGTAGAGGTTGTGTAGACTATCACGTAACACCCTACCCTCAACCATCGAATTATACAGTGCTGCAAATAGACCTCATATATACTTATTACTTTCCCTTGTTTTGATATTGTGATAATACGGGACCTTAGTTTCTCTAATGGCATAGCGAACGAATGAATCACGTAGTCGACACTTCTGATGTATCTACCAGGCTTAGGCTTACCATAATTTCTTCGACTCAAACAGGGACATTTTTAAGGTTTTGAAAAAAAAAACACATACATGAAATATACAGTAGGTATATTTTTTTTTAATGGAAACAAATAGACTAAAAAGAACAAAAAGCGTAAAGTATGGAATCACTGTTTGGAGAACCGTTCGTGTTTTTTACAGTAATGAACCTTCCTTAGTATTGGTTTATTTTTCTCATAAAACTCGCTGCATCTTAAATCAGTGTTTATTTTGCAGTACATTAGTCTTTTTACTGTCGATTCAGTCCTGAGATCATTACATTATCAGTGAGAGTAACATTTAAACAGGAGCAGAAGCGCCTGGCTGAGGTTAGGCAGAAATACGTTTTGCTCCGTAAATTGATTAAGGAGATGAACCCATTTTCTTCTCGACTTAGAACGAAATACTACTATAAGCGCAGGCATGCACAGTAGCAAATTTATTGAAATTTCCGTTTTTCATATTTATGTTTTTTTTTTTATTAGTTTTATTGTTGCGATGTTTGTCTACGGGACAAATTGACAAACTGACCAGGACCTCGGAACAATCCTGGTCAAAACGAGACGTATGGCAAGCCTACCTAGACTAGACTTTTTTCGCAATTGCTTCACGGGGTGTATCCCCGTCCAGTGGCCCGCAGGCATTCCTTTCTTTTATTTTCCATTCTTCATTCCCCTCCTGTGCAGATCTTTCTCTACTACACCTTTCCCTTTGTCTGTCTTTATGTCTGTCTGTCAGTCTGTCTGTCTCTCTCTCTCTCTCTCTCTCTCTCTCTCTCTACACAAGGGTTGTACAAGGTTAATTTAAAGGATCCTAACTTTGTTTACAAGCTAAGAGCTGTTACCTACATCAGCTCATTTTCAACATGTTTCAGACTCGAGTCATCATAGGAATAAATGATCTCAGAAGATGGGTACACCTCTGTCTCTCTTGCAACATCCAGGGAATGGAAGCTAGAGAGCGAAATAAAAAACGAAAAAAAGATTATCGTTACCTCTTAAAGGTTTCTCGTCTGAAAATAATAAAAGATCTATAATACAATTACTTCTCCCTTCAAGGGACGTGCTTTCATGGTAGTACTAGACTCTTGAGACAATGAGTTGGAGCTTCTGTCTCCTCTGACCCTTATGGTTTTAGCACTGTTATAATAAAGACAAACAAACTCGTGTATTTTCTTCAATTTTTTATTGCGTCAAAGACAACAAACCCAAAACAACGAAATGTATTAAAAACTCCAAGAGAATAGCATGTGAAAAATTTTCCTTCACATGCATAACAGGTAGAATTTATTTGCAAACCTAGAGAAAAAAAATGCCCCTGGTGTGGATGGGTGGGTGTGCGGGAGGGTATATACAAGTTTTTTACTGCTCTTCCTCCTCTCCCGCTTCCTCCTCCTCCGCTTCCTCCTCCTCTTCTTCTCCTACAATGGCTTCTACATTTTCTTCATTTCCTCTGACAATAGTATTCTCGTTTGCCGTTGCCTCGTTTGTTTCGTTGGCTGCGGCGTCACCCGTGTCACGGACTGAAAAAAAAAATTACTATAGAAAACTATACAATTAGACTGGTATAAAAATGGGTCGTCAGTCAAGTTTTAAGACACGAACAAAAAAAAAAGCACATATTTAAACAACATTTCGGTCTTTGTGTTTAATCTCTTTTTTTTTTTTTTGAACCGCTTGCTTGTACCAATTACCAAGGATTATATCATACTTTTCCAAGGAGGTTTTTGATGCCGGGGATGGGCTCTTGATTCAAGAAATTGACCTCCTCTCTGGATCAAAAATAATTGCCTCGGATTCTCCTTGGAGCTGTGTGATCCCCTCACTCTCCCTCCCCCGAGAATGTAATAATTTTGAAAACAGTTGTTTTAAAATTATTTAATTACTAAGTGGATGGAAATATATTAGTAGCAATTAATTTTAGTAATAAGAGTGGTACAGATCGAAGCACTTGTTTCCATATAGTAATTTAACCCTTTCTATCAATGACTGTGTATCCCACGGAGAGGCTACTTGTAGTAGTTAAGCTTTCAAACTTGATTCATCATCGTGCAGGAAGGTTGAGATTCTTATTGCACTGCGTAGGTGGTAATTTTGATCCTTTTAACAATTTTCGTTAAGTAACCTAAGAATGTCTTTCTCGACGGCTTTTGAGTTTAGAAGTCATTACATCTGACCACAAAAAGGAAAACTATTGGATTCTGTGTGGTAACTGGAGAATACCTATTCAGTTTGCCATCAGAAATTTAATGCTGGTATATTTTACTGGCGGAAAGGTTTCCATATTTATTTTGCAGATTGCGATATTGCGATAACTAGAGAATGCTTGTTTGGATCATCTTCAAATTTTTAAAGTTGGTGTTTCATTTGAAGAAGGTCCAGATTGGTTTTGAGCTGTGTTGGTTCCAGTTTCCTAATTTTATTAAATAATCATACCAAAGAATGTCTTTTCACATTGGTTTCAAACTTTCAAAGCTGGTGTGTCCTGCTTGGAGGGAGTCTTAGATTTTTAATTGAGCTTTATAGGCTTTTGGATCATTTAGAAATTGGGGGTATGAAGCTGAAAGTTAAACAAACCTTTGAAACATTTTAATGCTGAACCTTTTATTATTTACTAAATTTGGCTATCTACTTTTTATGTAAAAGCTAAAGTAATCCTATTTCAACCATTTGAAGATACAGTTTTTAATAGGGAATATGGCAGAGCATGATTACCATATTCCATGATATAGCAGACTAACTGATGTGAATTTTTGATTGTCAGTTGGTTTAAGTACTAAAATAGGGAGACCAACCTTAGATGGACACTAATGTCTGTATCTTAAGGTTTTTATTAAGTACTCAAAACATTACAGAACTCTCTTGTCAAGTATCGATTGGTCTCAGTGTTAATCTACAGTTGTTACATTGTTAGGATATTGATCTACAGCCCCTCTGATTACTGAGAGTTTTGGAGTACAGCGGCTAGTCTTGAATATGTTGGTGTACATGGGGTTGGAGTTGTGATACGAGGGTTACTTGTCTCGGATCGCTCTCCTATCGAAACAAGTCTTGCTTTCCCAAATATAGCTATTTGTCTATTTATCTATTTCTGTATTGCTTTACCTCTGTATTCCGCATCATAGAATGTGCATGCCTTGTCATTCTTAAAAACACCTAGTATACTTGTAATGGAAAATATTTAGTCGTGTACTCACTGAAAGAAGTGCAGCAGAAGCAGCCAGATCCTTTGCATCCATTGCGTATCTGTCTTTCATGACTTTTGCATCGTGTTGACGAGCACTTGCCTTGGTGCTCCCTACACTCGTGTTTGGCAACACATGCTGTGGAAGAAACTAAATCGTGCCTTGTTTACAACGTGTATATTAAGACTGTTTTTATGGGTGTTATTATCGCATTGGGGAATAAGGGTGCTCTTGGCTGGGGAAATCAAAAGGTTGTAATTGGAAAGACAGAATTGATTTGGTAGTTTAGGAAGGATTTAACTGGTCGATTATGGAGAAAGTTGTGGTAATTTAGGTACAGAAAATGCTTGTTTTTGTCAACGAATGTATTTATAAGACTGGAAACACAAGGGGAAGGTGAATATACAATTGAGAGACGTGTAAATCTGTGTGCAATGAGAATGCTTTAATCTGCCTTTTAGGGGTTAAAGTAAC